TTCAGTCTTTAGTGTTTAATTCATCAAATCTGTTCTTCAGATGACCTCTAAATTCAGGTGGGATAAATTCAATGTCATATTTTGGCTCTCGTACACTTGTTTTCATTTTCTTCAGCTTCAGTTTGAATTTGCATATCAGTAATTGATGGTTTGTTCTACAGTCTGCCCCTGGCCTTGATTTCACTGATGATATGGAGCTTTTCCATCTTTTCTTTCCACAGATGTAGTCAATTTTATTTCTATGTGCTCCATCCTGTGAGGTCCATGTGTATCGTCGTCTGTTATGCTGTCTAAAGAAGGTATTTGAAATTAACAAATCATTTGTCTTGCAGAAATCTATCATTCATTCTCCAGCATCATTTCTATCACCAAGTCCAAAATTTCCAACTACTGGTCCTTCCTCTTTGCTTCCAACCTTTCCATTCCAATCACCAGTAATGAGCTATACATCTTGATTGCATGTTTGATTGATTTCAGATAGAAGAAGTTAGTAGAATTCTTCTATTTCAATTTCACTGGCTTTAGTGGTTGATGCATAGATTTGAATAATAGTGTTATTAACTGGGCTTCCCTGTAGGCACATGGATATTATCCTATTACTTATAGCATTGTACCTCATGACTGATCTGGATAAGTTCTTTTTGACAATGAACGCAACACCATTCCTCTTCAATTGGTCATTCCCTGCATAGGAAACCATGTGGTTGTCAGATTCAAAATGGCCAATACCAGTCCATTTCAGCTCACTAATGCCTAAGATATCTATGTTGATGCATTCCATTTCATTTTTGACAACTTCCAATTTTCCCAGATTCATACTTCGTACATTCCATATTCTGATTTTCAATGGATGTTTACAGAGGTTTCTCTTCATTTTGAGTTGTGGCCCATCAGCAAATGAAGGTTCTGTGTGCTTTTCTCCCACGAACTTAACTCTATTCACGTCATCCTGGTCAACTCTACTTTGAGGAGGCATTTTTTTCCCCAGTCGCATTCCGAGTGCTTCCCACCTTCCGGTCTTGTATCTGACAATGTTTCTCTGCTATTCATAGAGTTTTCAGTGACTAGCAATTCGGAAGTAGTTTTTCACTCTTTCTTCCTAGTCTGTCTTTGTCTGGAAGCTCATCTGAAACCTGTCCACCATGGGTGACCCTGCTGGTTATTTAAAATACTGGTGGCATAGCCCTCAGAATCACAGCAACTCAATTCACCACAGCACGAGAGACAGATGAGTTTTAAGTTACCCAAAGTTACTTAACTAATAAATAACTGAGTCAGTATTTAGTGAAGATTGGTCTGATCTGAAAGCTCTTATCAGCTTCTACATTCACAGGACACAGACTTGCTGTTATAATGGTTAAAAGTATTGTGAAAGAACAGGTTAATGCAATTAATTTTGATTTTTTATTCCTTTTTATTTCAAACTGGATGCCAGGGGTCATGTTTGAAATCTGATTGTTTTTGGCAAGTCTGACTTGGAAAATCTCATAACAAACAGTAAAAACCTTATGTATTATACAGTGTTATTTTCACTTCAAAATTAGCCATAAGAAAGAACTTGTTTCTTAAAATCAATGATCAAGAAACATTTATGCTGAAGTTTGATGAGACCTGGGGACTCCTATGCCCACGGACAAGGACACAGCCATGGAAGGCTAGAGCTGAGAGTGAAGCATCCTGCTGATATGAAGTGAGTGAAGATTCACAAGAACAACCACACTTGCGGATAGTACCAATTTGACCTAGCTTCGATGGCTTGATGATCAGAACTTGACTAAAGGAAGATTTAAAAAAAACAATTTTTTGATAAAGGAAACAAGTGTAAATTGCTACAACTTGATGAACTTGACCTATACTTATGGATGTAGTAGCTCAAAATACCAATTGAGAGGGAAGGAATCGTCACGTCAAGTATCAATCCTATTCCCTCTGTATACAGGGTACATAAGGATGGGCAACTTAGACATTGGCTACTTAAAATAAGGGGGCTAACAAGGCATGAAGTGACTGGCTTACAAGTTTTCAAGAGGGAGTTTAGTTTAAGAGTGTTCGGGGGAAGATAGAGTCCCCACTGAATAGTTTTCATCTTGTCTAGACAGGTCTGGTGAAAAGCAATGGGGATAAGATTCTTGTGATTCAATTGTAAGTAACTGTTATTATGACTAATTGCAACTGTCACAAATGTAAATGTGGACTTTTTGTAGCAAAATGGAGGAGTAGTTAATCTTACAGTTCAGAAACAGAGGATCCTAGAACCATCATAGGAGAAGAGCATGAGTGGAATATGGGACCCTATCCTTACGTAAGGAATAGTTACCAGCAACACTAGAGATGGAGGCAGAGATAAGGATATGGAGAGAGAGAGAGAGCAGCTGAGGACTCGACTTATGGAAAGAGAGAGACTAAGAGCTGGTGGCCAGGAGGCAGGCTTGCAGAATGTGCCCTTTGAGTGTTTAAATTATTATGTATTCCTGAGTATACTTCCCCACCCTCCAAAAAAACTACAGAGGTAATGGAAGTGAAATCTGTTCAATGATGATGCACGGAGGAGATTGCAATCATTGCATTGAAACGATGGTGTAAAACCAATGTTTTCCCAGGTAAACTATCACTCAATTCATAATAAAAACAAAAACTAAAAAAAGCATTTATGCTTGTTTCTCTTAAAAGTGGAATAGAAAGAAGAATAATGTTACTTTTTTCCAACTTAATTGATATAAAAGTTAATTATTGCTTAAATTTACAAGGGGGCTTCAAAAAGTTCATAGTATAATGGAATTAACAGATAATGGGTTGTTTGATGATGCATGGAGGGGAATGTAATCATTGTAATGTGTAATCATTGCAATGAAATGAAATACAATAGGATGAATGTAAAACTGGTGTTCTCCCCGTAAACTCACATAATTCACAATAAAAACTAAAAAAAAAAAAAAAAAGATAATGGAAATTTCCCAGGAACACACACACACACACAATATTAAAATTTTAACTTAAATCTGTGAGTCACTATAGTAAAGAAATATAATTTAACTTACCTGCATTCATATCAGCTGTCAAGATTTCCATTTCTTCTGCAATAAAGCAAAAACTTCCAATGTTTAAAGTTATGTTTCTAGTAAAATTAAATCATTAAGTGATTTAAACTTTGATAATACTTCTGTTTCAAACTTGTTCTTTCTTTAAAAAGAACTGTGCAAAATCCTCAAGGCACATTGTCTTATTTTATTTCTATCAATAGGAAATACCTGGAAACTCTTGCTGGCACAAACTGGAGGAGTCTATTGGTGTAAATGAGTGGTGAGGCTCATGGTACCTCAGTTTCCTGCATTCAGAGCAAGCAAAAATTATGTGTCCAGAGAAGGATGCCTCTCTTTTAGCTGTTTGCATTTACAAGGCCTTAGTATCCCTTGGTGGCACAAACAGTAAAGCATTCCACTTTTAACTGAAAAGTTGATGGTTGTAACCCATCCATAGGTGCTTTGGAAGAAAGATTTGGTGATCTGCTTCTAAAGGTCATATTCTTGAAAACTATGTGGAGTGGAGTTCTACTTTGCAACCAGGGCTTCAAACTATTTTGAAACACTTCTGTCATGGCTAATGAAAACAAAGGCAATGTAGACATTGCAAAGTAACCAAATCTCTTGTGAGTTAGATTTTAACTTGAATCCTGGTGGTCCAGTGGTTAACTTCTGGACTTCTAAGTGCAAATTGGAGCTTCAAGCCCACCAGCCACTCCATGAGAGAAAGATGTGGCAATCTGCTTCTGTAAAGATTTGTTGTTGTTAAGTGCTATTGAGTCAATTTCGACTCACAGTGATCCTGTACAGAGTTTCTGAGGAACAGCTGGTGGGTTTGAAATGCTGAGCCTATAGTGCCACACCAAGAGTCCATTGGAAATCCTATGGGATAGTTCTGCTCTGTCCTATCGGGTCACTATGAATCAGAATCAACTTGACAGAAACAGTATCCCACTCAAAGATGGTGGCCAACTATGTTCAAATCGGAGTGGTTTGTCACCGTCTTTGGTGACAATTGTTGTTGTTGTTGTTAAGTGCCGTCGAGTCGGTTCCGACCCATTGCGACCCTGTACAGGGTTTCCGAGGGTGTAAATCTTTACGGGAGTAGAAAGCCTCATCTTTCTCCCGCGGAGCAGCTGGTGACAATAACCGCTGCTTATTTCTTACTGGGTCAAAATCCAATGAACAAGAAATTTATTTGCTATTCAGTGTCTATACTGCCCTTGTTTCCATCAGCCATGTCTGAACTGTTTTGAATCAATTCATAGTTCTGTCTGCCACACATGGAGTCTCCATGGGTCAAAATAGACTAGGTGGCAACCGTGTGGTTTTGTTGTTGCTTATTTGTTTGATTTTTATAGAAGGAATAGTTACCAGCACTGACTGAGTCTTGAGCTGACATTTAAAAAGTCACCTCTCTAGATGTTTTTTGACAAAAGGAGGGGAGTGATTGATTTTGCAGCCCAGGAGTGGAGGTCCTTGGGACCACCAAGTGAGAAGAGTGGAGAGCAGGGCCCTACCCAGAAAGGCAGTGACGCTAGGGATGGAGACAGAGACGATGACGTGGAGAGATGGAGCAGCTGGGGACTCTGGACTCAGGGAGGGAGAGGGGCTGTGTGCTGACGACCAAATGGCAGGTTTGCAGGGTATACCCTTTGGTTATTTGATGATGCATGGAGGGGATTGTAATCATTGCAATGAAATGAAATATGATAGGATGAATGTAAAGCTAATGTTCCCCATGTAAACTATCACATAATTCACAATAAAAACTTGAAAAAAAAAAAAAAAAAGATATGCTCACAAAATAACCAAACACATTGGATAGGAATTCATACAAACAAAATGATGTAAACATTAAAACATATTTCAATGGTTTCCAATGGTGAAAGGAGACTAGGAGTGAGATGTAAAGATAAAGTAGAATTAAAAAGTAAAACAAGAAAGGGGCTGGGTTTGAACCAATGATGATAATGTACAATAAGCTAAGGAGTATGAGTAACTCAACCCCTTTGTCCGAGGTACAACTAGGAAGGAAGAAAAGGAAGGAGTGGAGGAAAGGAGGAAAAAAGGTAGGGAGAGAAATGCAGAAAGGAAAAAAACCCAACAACTTTGGAGGATAAAATAATGAGAAGGGCAGGATACTGAGAAGTCATTAAGAATTTAGGGCAAGGAGTGATCTTGATCATGGATTGCCTCAAAAATCCTGGGAGGACTATGAGTTTTCAGACTGAGGATTTGAATCATTTTATGTGGATAATAAAGAAAAAGGTGACCCCAAATAACTAGACAGGGTCACTATGAGTTGGAACCAACTTGACTGCACTTAACAACAACACAATGAAGAGCTAGAGGATCTAAGGACATTTTGCTTACATAACTAAATAAGAAAATATCTCTTATGAAAAGTTTTCTCTGGTGGCAAGTTCTTCTGACGTTGCTTTGAAACTGAGGATAAATTAAAGAGGAGAAGGGCATTACGCAAAGGAGAAATGTACAGAGAAGTGTCTTTTTGCTGGTTATTTGGTCTGCAGGGTTTTTGGAGGGGAGTGAAAGAATGGGGGGTATCATATTGTGAAAATATAAAAACCACTGTGTCTAAACTAATGTTAAAACCAAGTTATTGGTAACACATGGTCACATCACCAAAGTCAATATTTACGTTAAAATATAAGAAGACAAGCGTACCTTTGTTTTGCTTCAATTCTGCAATAGCCCAAGAATGTAATAAAAGTTTTACCTTGTTCCTCAGGTTCAAGGCCTAAAAATACAAACAAAAACAAGAAATCAAAAATTGACTTCAGCAAAAGATGGTTTTATTTGAGTAAAAATAAAAAGTACACAGTACTCTACATACAAGGATTCATGGAAAAGTAGAATTAAGAGATAATAAAAAATTTCCATAAACTTTTTGAAGCCCTCTCGTGTATCAGAAAATCTGTAGCACCTAAATCTTGTTTTCAATATTGTAATATAAATTTTCTATTATAAAAATAGATTTACCTTGAATTTTAGGATGTCCAGCTTCTAAAACCAAAACACACACACACAAAAATCACTATAACAAAGATATCGTTTTCATTGAATAAAATTTATACAAATTATTAATATATCAAAAGATGGTATAGCAACTCAATGTTTGCAAAAAGATCAACATCAACCACAGAATAAAGCCACCTTTATGTTCTTTTTTGTACTGCATAGCAGATTTTCCACCTTGGAATTAAATATACACCAACATCATCACTAAGGGTATCATTTCAATTATAGTGAAGAAAAGAAATTATTATTTTAGATATATTTGAACAACTATCCAATAGGAAACCTATAATACAGGTGTGTAAAATGTATAACCATTTTTAATTTATATTACTAAAAAAATCAATTAAATGAAAATATAATCCAAACTTCTCTTAATTTAGTGACTCTGAATGGCCATTTAAAGTAGAGGTAGATGATATATTAATATATTTATTTTACATCTCTACTCTCACTTGTTGTTGTTGTTGTTGTTGTGTGCCATTGAGTTGGTACCGACCCATAGCACAGCAGAACGAAACACTGCCAGATCCTGGACAACCTCACTATTATTGCCATGCTTGAGTCCATTGATACTGCCACTAGGCCAATCCATCTTGTCTGTCAGTTTGTCGTACTGTGGTGACTTGTGAGTTGCTATAATTCTGAAAGCTATGCCACTAGTATTTTAAATAACTAGCAGGGTCATCCATGGTGGACAGGTTTCAGATGAGCTTCCAGACAGAGACAGAGTAGGAAGAAAGAGTGACAAACTACTTCTGAATCTTTAGTCACTGAAAACCTTATGAATAGCAGAGAAACACTCACTTGCTCTCCCTTAAATCCAAACCCAAGTCACTTGCCTTTAGTCGATTCCAACTTATAGTAACCATATGGGATAGAGTAGAACTGCCCCATAGGATTTTCAAGACTAAATCTCTACAAAGCCTCCTGTCCCACCTTTCTCCTGAGAATCGTCTGGTGGGCTTGAATCACTGACCCTTCAGTTAACCACTGTGCAAGCACTTAACCACTGTGCAAGGAGGGCACCTTGCCCTTCTAGACAGGGAGAACATTTAGAATCATTGCTAAAATACAAATGGTGGTACCCATCCTAAAGAAGGGTAAACTAAAGTTATAAGGACAGTTAACTACATTTTTTATATGAATTCAAGAAACTGACGTTAAAGTTTATGTTGTGGACAATTTCTTATGGTAGAATTTTTTTTTTTTTTTTCTGGTTAAGACCCATATTCCTTGGCTTTAAACTTTGAGTTTTGAATCTGAAGGAAGAGGAGGAGGAGTTAGAAGGAAGAAAGAAGAGAAGGTGGAGGAAAAGACACCCCAAAACAAGTAAAATCAAACAGGCAAAAGCCATGGTTTACCACCATGTTCCTTGAAAAAATATTCTTTCTTCATCTCTTTAATAAAAAAGTTCATGGTATAATGGAATTAAGAGATAATGGGTTGTTCAATTATTTGAACTGACTTTAGAGATCCAGTGAGTGTGTGATTCTCACCCAAGATGGTATCCACTTGGATGAAATATATGGTAGGTCCCCTAGAGAAATGGGTGAGATTCTGTCTTAAGGACTTCTGCTTTAATCTAAAGAGCACATTCTAGGGTTCCTATTTTCTTTCCTTTGTGTGACACTATGAGATTGCTTTGTACCTTCACTCCAAATAAACTGCTTTCTTTGAGTATTTAATGAAAGAGGCCTTCAATAGTTACTCTGAGAAATGTTAATACACATTGGTCCATTTGAAAAGTGCATTTTAAAAAATGTTTATTTTGATAGGCATAACAAGGTCATAAAAAGAAACAAATTATTCTAAATTGCTTTCTCTGAAAATCTGGTGAAGAATGCAAAAAACAGTTTGATTTTTACCTATGGATGGTACTATTAAATTAGATAATAATATTTTTTTCATGTAACTCATTCTGATTTGGTTTAATGATAAATAGATGCTTATGCATTAGGCAGTGGTACTGTGGGATAAAGCATTGGTCTGCAAGGTCAGTTTGAACCACAAGGTTGTTTGTTCAAATTCACCAGCTGCTCCTTGGAAACCCTATACAGGGTTGCTCTGAGTAGGAACCAACTCAACAGCACTTAACAATAAAAACAACAATATTATAAGGAATTAATGAAATGAATTCATTTTGACCAAATGTTTGTGTATTTATCACAACCTTGAAAGTGAAATATTTTCACTTTCAAGTTTAAGTTAGATATTAACTTAAGTTAGATATTATACAATTTAAGGTAAAGAGGTAATTTTTTCTTAAAATGGAACTAGTAGTACTGGAGGCATGGGACAAATCCAGAATGACAGATAAATGGCTAAAGAGCTTTTTTGTTTTTGTTTTTTATCCTTGTCAGTATAAATGAAAGCAAAGGAACCTGTTTACAAAGAGAATAGTAATCCTAAAGCCAAAGTCAATTCCGACTCATAACAATCCTAAAGGACAGAGTAGACCTTCAGAGGATTTCTGAGACTATAAATCTTTACAGAAGCACACTGCCCATCTTTCTCTCATGGAGCAGCTAATGGGTTTGAGCTGCTGACATTTTGGCAACAGGCCAATGCTTAATCTAATGTCCTAATGTATCACCAGAAACAGGGAAACTAGTTGGCTATCTTTTATCTTTTAAAATATTGTGAGTTTATGAAAATGAGCTAGAATGACTAATTCTTGTCCTTGAATGTGAAACTTGGGTTTCTAGTCTCTGAGGCCATCTAGCCCTAGACAAATGTTTGAAGAGTCCTGCCCTACTCAGTGTAGACAGTTCAAGAAATCATGAAGGAATAAATTTAGATTGGGGAAAATGGTAAAGTTTGACTGAAAACTTAGAATTTTTCAACAACTATTATTTCAGCAGTAATTATATTTTGTGGCATATAGATAATTTCAAGATCTTTAGCTAATTTGGGTAGTAAACTAACTTAAATATTCATTACAATTTACATTCATATATTTTTGTTTTGGAGTCCTGGCGTGGCATTGTAGGATAAAGCACTGGACCACAAGGTCGGATTGAATCACAAGTTTAGTGGTTCAAACTCACCAGCTGCTCCTTAGAAACCCTATAAAGGGTCACTATGAGTCAGACCCGACTCAATGGTATTAACAACAATTTTTGTTTTATTGACTGTGTTGATTTTTGCTATTATAAAGGATTATGAGAGATACAATGGAAACAAAAACAAACATATTCACCGCCAGAGTCAATTCGAACCGATAGTGACCCTATAGAAGAGAGTGGGACTGCTCTTGAGAGTTTCTGAGACTATAAATCTTCACGGGAGTGGGTAGCTTCATCTTTTCCCCTCAGAGCAGCTAGTAAGCTTCAACTGCTGACCTTGCCATTAGTAGCCCAATGCTTATCCCACAACACCATCAGTGCGTCTGTATACAACAGGATGATGCATAAAAGATTTATTAAAAGGCATTTATTTGGAATGGTCAAAGTTTTATCTGTCTAAAGTTTAATAGTTTAAGGATTTTAGGAATTTTGTTGTTAAATAGCATATGAAACAAAAATTAGTTTTTTTAAATCATTAAAGTAAGTATCAGTAATTTCTTTGATGACTGGTTTGAAGAGGTAATTCATCCTTTCTGCAACCCACTTCAAAGGTAAGGGTAGATTCCCAAATCAAACCAAGCTGCAATGTTTTTGAAATAAGCTTAGGTTACTGTTCTTGCATGGAGGAGATTGCAAAGATTGAGATGAAACAAAGTGTATGATTTGTTGAATGTAAAGCTGATGATCTTGTTGTAAACACAACTCATAATAAAAAGGTCAAAAACAAAAGCTAAGGTTTTTACTTTTAAGATCTGTAAATAAGTTAAGTGTCATTTCTTGGTGACTGCTGATAAACTCCTGACAATTTGAAACTTCATGAAAAGTTACAAAATATTTTTCCTGAACTGATTTGAAGGCACTTAACAACAACAGGTTGCATGAAACATGTTGTTGCATCAACTGATTCATTCTCTTTTGAGTTAAAAATTTATTTGTTAGATGTTATTTTTTTCTTCATGTCTTTTCCTAATATTAGATGACAGACACATGATACTATATCATAATTTTAGTTATTTTAATTTCTAATTGGTCACAACTTTATTTCTTTTGAATCTAGCAACATAAAAACCAGTGAGTTTAATTAGGAGAACTACTCCACTTACCTTTAGTGCTTAATTTAAATGTTTAGAGATTTGATAGTCTTGGCATATGGTATTATGTCTCAAGATTATTATATTTGAAGCTTTTTAAAAATAAGGTTATTATGTTTAGAGATACTTTTGTCTAATGTTCCTTTTGATTTTAAATATATTTTATTTGCCTTTGCATTAGTTCTGTAGAATTAACATGCATGTGAAAGCTAGACAATGAATAAGGAAGATCAAAGAAGAAGTGGTGCCTTTTAATTACAGTGTTAGTGAATAACATTAGATATACCATGGACTGCCATAAGATTGAACAAATTTGTGTTGGAAGCAGTACAGCCAGAATGCTCCTCAGAAGTGAGGATGGTGGGACTTTGTCTCATGTACTTTGGATCTGTCATCAGGAGGGACCAGTTCATGGCATGGAGAAGGACATCATGATTGCTAAAGTAGAGGATCAGTGAAAAAAAGGAAAACTTCTTTTTTAAATTTGTATAGCGGCTTCAACAATGGCTTCAAACATAGCAACGATTGTGAGGATAGTGCAGGACTAGGCAGTGCTTTGTTTTCATGTACATAGGGTCACTAAAAGTTGAATGCAACTCAATGGCACCTAACAACAATGAAATATTTCCATCTGACATTCCTTTTGACTTTAAATGGACTTTATTTGGCTTTGCATTAATTTTCATCACATCTTTCACTTAAAAAATATACTATTGAGTTCATCATGACCATATTAGGTTTTGTCATTTAGACTTTTGCTTTGCTGCCTTGCTGAAATGGTTAACCAAAATATTCTAGTAGAATGATGGTTATATTGGTTTTATGAAAAGACTGTTATTGTGAGCCATCTTACTAGACTGTGTGGAGCTGTAGCACAAGCTCTGGACAGCTCACCACAATGGTAGTGGTTAAAACCCATCAGTTGCTCTTTGGAAACCCTATACAGGGCCACTGTGAGTCAGAACTGACTCAGCGGTACTTAACAACAACAACAGTGTAGGTGACAGGGGTTCACAGATTGTGTTTGACCCAAAATTGTGAGGAACACAGAAATTAAGACTGAATAGAGTACTATCAACACACACGGAAGCAGCAGTCAAGAAATCAAATGACGTATTGCATTAAGCAAATCTGTCGCACAAGAACATTTTAAAGTGTTGAAGAGCAAAGATGTCAGCTTGAGGACTAAGGTGCACCTGACCCAAGTCATGGTATTTTCAATGGTCTCATATGCATGAGAAATTTGTACAGTGAATAAGAAAGATCTTAGAAGAATTGATGCTTTTGAGTTATGGTGTTGGAGGAGAATATTGAAAGTGCCATGGGCTGCCAAAAGAACCAATAGATCCATTTTGGAAGAAGTGCAGCCAGAGTGCTCCTTGGACGCCAAGATGGCCCAACTTCGTCTCTCATACTTCGGACATATTGTCAGGAGGGACCAGTCGCTGGAAAAGGATATCATGGTTTTTTATTTATTTATTTATTTATTAAATGTTTTTATTTTGGATTGAGTGAAAGTTTACAGGGCACATCATCAGCTTCACATTCAACCATTCATATAGCTTGTTTCATTACATTGATTATTATCCCCTCCATATATCATCAGTTAACAGTGTTTCTCTCTATCCTCTTTAGCATTTTTTTGGGAGGTGGGGGTGGGGGGGAAGGGATATCATGTTTGATAAGGTGGAGTGTCAGAGAAAAAGAGGAAGACCCCCAGAGAGATGGATTGGCCAAGTGGCAGCATCGATGGACTCAAGTGTGGCAATGATGGTGAGGTTGGCCCAGAATTGGGCTGTGTTTCATTCTGCTGTGCATAGGGTCACTATGAGTCGGTACCGACTCGATGACACCTAACAACAACAACAACAACAACAACAACAAAAACAACAACAACAATACACTACCAATTAAGTGAATCACTTATATGAACTAGGATATCTTCTACAGATGGACTTGAGCTCCCACTTTAAGATTTGTAGTCTAACCACAGACCATCCAGTTCTTACAATGTTTCCCTGTTCCATACTTACCTTTATAAATTAATCACGGAGGACTGGGTGCTATGTAAAGTGGGGTAAGGAATTAGGTTGGGGCCTGGCTATTAAAAATGACAAGGTTTTAAAAGTTTATTCTAAAACGAACAGTCATCTAAAGGAACCATCAATCAGTCCATGCAGATTAAAGCACACAACCAACGTGTGACAAATGAATTTGAAATAAAATCCATGATTAGCGCTTAAAATCTAAAGCGCTTGACTTATGGAAGGCTGCAGTCTATAGCAGGGGTCCTAACTTCATTTTGAGTCATGATAAAAGTTTAGATACCATTGAGTTATTTCTGATTGTTAAACCAGCAATAGGACTATAGTTAGACAAGTCTAAGGACTTCTGGTGTGGCGCCATAGGGTCAGCACTGGACTGTGAACCACAAGTTTGGCAGTTCAAACCCACTAGCTGCTCCTCAGAAACTCTAGATAGGGCCTCTATGAGTTGGAATCAAGTCGACAACACTTAACAGCAACAACATAGGTAGCAGAGTGACTTACCTATTGGGCTGCTAACCACAGGTCAGCAGTTTGAATCTACCAGCCTCTCTGTGGGAGACTTTCTGCATATATACATATATATACACATATATGGTGTGTGTATATAAATATGCATGATAAAATATTATATATGTGTGTGTATATATGTACATATATAATATTTTTATCATTAGAGATGTATATATCTCTAGGTGAAATGACACGATGTCTGAAATTTGCTTTCAAATACTCCAACAAACAAACAAAAATAAAAAATGCAAGTATGGTGGAGGATAGATAAACAAGACGAGCAAAAGAGTCATTGTTGAAGCTGTGGGATGAGTGCACAGGGGTTAATTCTACTAGTCTGTCTGCTTTTATGTATGTAGGAATATTTTTCTAATAAAAAGTAACAAAATAAGTAAATATTTACTAAATGAAAATATGAGAAAGTGAATGTTCCATGCTTCACCAAATGTCCATACAGTAGTACTCTCATGGCTTCATTCTCTTATGGTCACTTAAATTATAATTTACCTAAGATGTTTCAGCATTCTTGGATCTAATAATGAAAAAAGGTGGCAAAAACCTTTTAAATTACCTTCACAGCCAACCTCATCTTCTCCGGTGATACAGTCGACCTCCCCATTGCATTTGTTCTCTTTTGGAATACACACACCTGATCTACAATGGAAACTTTCACCTTGACACTCTGTGAAAACATAAATAGGAATGGTTGTTTTCATTTCTTAAAATTGAATGAGGTGCAATGTTAAAATGCAATGGTAATGCTTTTACTTTTTTAGTCAGAAAGACTACAGCCTTCGGTATGGGTAACACCTTAATGTAAAGAAAACTTTAAAATCCCCACAACTGGACCAATCAATTACATCAGAATAAATGGAGAAAAGATTAATGTTATTAATGATTTCATTTTACCTGGATCTACAATTAACACTCATGGAAGCAGCAGTCAAGAAATCAAATGACGTATTGCATTGGGCAAATATGCTGCAGAAGACCTCCTAAAAGGGTTAAGGATCAAAGATGTCATTTTGAGGACTAAGGTGTGCCTGACTCAACTCATGGTATTTTCAATCACCTCATATGTGATTGAAAACGGGACATGTTAAGGCTGGACAATAAATAAGGAAGACTGAAGAAGAATCAATGCATTTGAATTATAGTGTTGGTAAAGAATATTGAATATACCTTGGACTGCCAGAAATAAAAAACAAATCTATCTTGAAAGAAGTACAACCATAATACTCCTTGGAAGCAAGGATGACGAGAGTTTGTCTCACATAATTTGGACATGTGATCAGGAGGGCCCAGTCCCCAGAGAAAGACATCATGTTCAATAAAGTAAATGGGCGAAAAAGAGGAAGACCCTCAATGAGATGAATTGTTGACACAGTGTCTGCAACAATAATAAGTGTGATGATGGCACAGGCAGTGTTGTACATAAGGTCTCTAAGAGTCAGAACCTACTCAACAGCTTCTAACAACTACTAGCAAGTGAGAAAAAAAAAATGCATTGGGGGAATCTGAAAACTACATTTATCTCTACCTTTACAACACAACTCATCGCTTTGGTCTCCACAGTCATTGAGACCATCACAGGCCTTCTTCAGAGGAATGTGCTTCCCATTCACACAGTGAAAGGAGTTCTTTGGTGCAGAATCTGTAAAGCAAAAATAATCTTGGTGAAATTTATTTACAGCTGTGCCATGACGATCTTATCATGTCTTTCGAATAAAGGTGTTGTTAAGATAAAATCGGAGTCCTGGTGTAGCATGGTGTTGATGTGTTGAGCTGCAATGTTAGTTTGAACCACAAGGTCGGTGGTTCAAGCTCACCAGCTGCTCCTCAGAAACCCTATACAGGTCACTATTGGTCAGAACAGACTTGACAGCACTTAACAACAACAACAAGAAGATAAAAGCAGGCCTTAAAAAATGATATAAAATATATTGGTAGTGTCAACATAGTAAGGAACCCTGTTGGCACAGAAGTTAAAATGCTAACCCAACCAACCAGCTAGTCCATAGAAGAAAGATGTGGCTATCTGCTTATGTAAAGGTTACCACCTTGGAAATCCCATTGGGTATTTCTATGATGTCTTGCAGGGTTGTTATGAGTCAGAATTGACTAGGCAGCAACGGGTTTGGTTTGGTTTGTCAACATAGTGTATCTGGTTAATAAGGAGTATAAATGCCAAAGCTAGGTTTTGGAGGCCCTTTTATCATCTCTGACAACGAGTATTTATTGTGTAAGTCAGCCCTTGCTGAGATACAGGGTTTAGGATCAAGAATAGAATGGTTATGTATTCCTGAGTGCTTCAGTGTACATCCAAAAAAACCCCATAAAACCCAGAGGGAATGGAAGCAAATGTTGTTGAATTATGATACATGGAGGGGATTGTAATCATTGCAATGAAATGAAATACGATAGGATGAATGTAAAACTGATGTTCTCCCATGTAAACTATCACTCAATTCACAATAAAAACTTAAAAAAAAAAAAAAAAAGGAATACTTCCTGGACATCGGCAAACAAACCAATTCCTTTTACGCTACTACACTAATCTGCAATCCCATTCCAAGACATACTTTAGCAGTATCATTTACATTTTTTTTTTCTAATTGTGGAAAATACGCATAACAAAATATTCACAAATTTTACCATTTTTAAATGTACAATTTGGTGACATTAAATATATTCACCATGTCATATAACCATCACAACTATCCATTTTCAAATGTTTTTCATTCCTCTAAACAGAGCTCTGTGGGTTAATGAAATGCACTTAAAAGTCGGTTTGAAATGCAAGGTCAACAGTTCAAATTCACCAGTTGCTCCTCAGAAACCCTATGTAGGATTGCTATGGGTGGGAACCGACTTAATGGCACTTAATAACAACAAACAGAAACTCAGTCCCCTTTCATTAACAACTTTCTATTTCCCTCTCTCCTCAGTCCTTGTTAACCACATCTTTTACCTCTATACATTTGGGTATTCTAAGTAATTCATGTAAGTGAGGTCATACAATATTTGTCTTTTTTGTGTGTGACTTATTTCACTCAGCATAATGTTTCCAAGTTTCATCCATGTTGTAGCATGTATCAGAATTTAAGACTGTATGACTGAATAATACTTCATTATATATATATATATATATATATATATATCACGTTTTATAAATACATTCATCTGTTGATGGGCACTTGGTTGTTTCTACCTTTTGGCTGCTGTGAATATCACTACAGTGAATATTGATGTGCAAGTATCTGTTTGAGTTCCTGCTTTCATTTCTTTTGGGTATATACCTAGGAGTGGAATTTCTGAATCACATGGTAATTCTATGTTTAACTTTTTGAGTAATACTATTTCCCACAGTGGCAGCTGTACCATTTGACTTTCCCACCAGTAAAGGATGAAAGATCCATTTACCCATATCCTCTTTAACACTTTTTATTATATATTTTTCTGATCATAGCTTTCTTAATGGAGGTGGTCGTATTTCATTGTGGTTTTGATATACATCTCTCGAATGATGAATGATTCTGTGGCATTGTGGGTTAATGCGCCACACTGCAAAGTCGTTTGAACTGCAAGGTCAGTGGTTCAAGCTCACCAGCTGCTCCTCGGAAACCCTATACAGGGTCGTTATGGGTCGGAACCAACTCGACGGCACTTCACAACAACAACAATGATTAATGATAAGGAGTATCTTTTAATATGTTTATTGATCTTTTTTATTTCTTCGGAGAAATGCACATTTAAGTCCTTAGCCCATTGTTAAGTTGTCTATTTTTGTTATTGTTGAGTTGTAAGAAGTATTCTTGTTTTTTAGATATTAAACCCTTATCAGATATATGGTTACCAAATATATTCTCCAATTCTGTGGGTTGTCGCTTAGCTATTTAGATTTTAATGATGCTTTTTAGCGTTGAAACGGGAAGGACATGACTTTAGTCTTTAGCACCACATACAAAACTAGAATATTCTCTTGCCAAGATGGAGAAGCAAAGTGGCAATGATTTCCTGAAAACTGAGGCACTGACATGGTTACATAAACATTTTAAAGGAGTGTGTGTAATCTGGGCCTTTCAAAATAGATGCTGAGAGTTCTGCTGATGCTCAATTGACTGACAATTCAGGTGTTCCAGAAAGTAAAGGAGAGTCTGTTAACTTTGCTATTCATAAAAGAATCTGACAAGAAGTAATTTTAGTAACAAAAGGTACAATAAGGGTAAAATACTAATTTAGCTTCTAAAACTTAAAATATGAGAGAGGCCTTATTGTGTTCTCTGTGTCTGAGTATCAATTATTGGTTTGTTTACTAATAGCTTGGTGTGAAGCAAACATCTTTGAAGACAGGAAAACATCAGGCAAGTACTCCACTAACCTGTGGTGTTCTCTGTGTAACACACTACGCCAGCTAAATCCCGGTTCTGGGCAGTTCTGCTCTTAGTAAAAGTACATTCAGCCAAACTGGTCTCTAGTCCTTGGCAGTGTACATGCAGGCAGTCAGTGGCATTTATATCTCCAAAGCTTCTTTGAGTATCAAGAGCACCTCTGCAAATAAAATAAATGAAACATTAAGTTGGGATACTTAGTATTTTGCATTTATAAACTCTCTGTAGGAGGTTAGAGACTACAGTAATTTCCCCTCATTTTCTACATATAAATTACAGATTGCACAAGATACTTAAATTCCTTGAGCCTCAATTTTTCAAAAATACAACCACCTCACTGAGTTTTGTGAAGATTAACTAAAATTATCAATTTAAATTGGCTAGCCAGATTTCCAATAGCAAAAAGATGGAAACCATCTAAATGTTCATCAATGGAAGAATGGATAAACACACTATGATGCATATACATAGTAGAATACTAGGCAATGTTTAAGAATAACCATGAATCTGCGGCATACCTCATAACATGGATGAACCTTGAAGGCATTATGATGAGTGAAATAACTCAATCACAAAAGGACAAATATTTCATGAGACCACTATCATAAAATGTTTTCAGACAAAAATAAACATTCTTTGATGGTTGCCAGGAATGAGAAAGGAAGGGAGGACAAATTACTGACTAGTGGGTAGATATGTGTAAACTTGGGGGAAGGGGAAGGCAATATACAGTAACAGAGAGGTCAGCACAAAATAACCAAAGCAAGGGAAGACTCTGGGAGGCATGTAAGAATTAAAGGCAACAGAGGTAAATGCTATTATATACACAGTCCTGTAATAACTGTGATCTATAAGCAGATGCACGAATAGACTAAAGGCTAAATGGATGTAGGAGGTAGAGTGGGAGTATACCCGTGAATATATACATGTGTTTGACAAAGGGTGTTTGTATATGTGTATTTACCTTTGCTGCAAATATATGCATGAATGTGATGGAGCAGTCAGGGGGCAAAGTTATGAAAACTTCTTAGACATAATCAACCACCTTGAGGGAAAGAGTCACTGGGCCTGGGGGCTTAGGATCATGCTCTTAGAGGACTCCAAGTTCAACTGGCATAACTTAGTCCACAGAGAGAATGTTCTACATCTTTTGGTAAGTAGCAACTGGAGTCATAAAAGCATGTAAACAGAAGAGTGAAATGAAAAATTCAAAGATGCATGGAAACAATTAGTCCAGTGGACTACTGTACCACATGACCATCAATCTCCACAATTCTGAAACTCAGAGAACTAGATGGTACCCTGATACTACTATCAACTACTCTGAAAGAGATCAAAAGGGCACATTCGGAGATAAACATAGAACAAAACTCAAAATTATAAAAGACCAGGCTTACTGGTTGGATAGAGACTTGTGGACCTCCGAGATGAATCACCCTTCAAATCTGAAACTGAACTCACCTCTCCCTGCTCAATTTTTAGCCAAACAATAGACAGTTCTATAAGGGGAACACAAATTGAAACCTTTCAACAAACTAATGCAACTCTGGAGGCTCTCATTCATCTCTGTCAAGAAATTTGGAAGACAGACTTTGTGCAGCAGACTTGCTTAATACAATGCATCAATTGACTGGAAGAGATCTATATCTGTGCCCGGTCCAAAGAGAAGTGACCCAATGGATGTGGAAATCATTGAACAATATCATTAATATCACATGCAATTAAAATTTTGATAATTCAAAAATTGCTGCAACAGTACATTGACAAGGAATTGCCAGAAACTCAAGCCAGATTCAGAAGAGGACATGGAATGAGGAATATCATTGCTGAAGTCCAATGGATCTTGCCTGAAAACAGAGAATACCAGAAAGATGTGCACCTGTGCTTTATTGACTATGCAAAGGCTTTCTACTGTGGGGATCATAACAAGCTATGGATAACATTTTGAAGAATGGTTTTTCCAGAACACTTGGTTGTGCTCATGAGGAACCTGTACTTGAACAAAGAGGCAGTCGTTCAAACAGAACAAGGCGATCCTGAATGGTTTTAAATCAGGAAAGGTGTGTGCCAGGGATGTATTCTTTCACCATACTTATTCAATATGTATGCTGAGTAAATAATCTGAGACGCTGGATATATGAAGAAGATATATATCAGGATTGGAGGAAGACTCATTAACAGCCTGAGATATGTAGATGATATGATCTTGCTTACTGAAAGCAAAGAGGACTTAAAATACTGATGAAGATCAAAGGCTACAACCTTCAGTATAGATTTCATCTCAATGTAAAGAAAACAAAAGTCCTTACAACTAGACCAATAGATAACATCATGAAAATCAGAGAAAAGATTATACTTGTTAAGGACTTCATTTTGCTTGGATCTACAATCAACACTCATGGAAGCAGCAGTCAAGAAATTAAATGATGCATTGTATTAAGCAAGTCTGCTGCACAAGACCTCTTCAAAGTGTTCAAGAGCAAAAATGTCAGTTTGAGGACTAAGGTGCACCTGACTCAAGGTATGGTATTTTCCGTTGTCTCATATGCATATGAAAGTTGGACAATGAATAAAGAAGGCCATAGAAAAATTGATGCATTTGAGTTATGGTATTGGAGAAGAGTATTGTAAGTATGATGGACTGCCAGAAGAACAAACAAATCTATTTTGGAGGAAGTACAGATAGAATGCTCCTTAGAAACCAGGTTGATGAGACTATGTCTCTCATACTTCAGACATTATCAGGAGGGACCAGTCCCTAGATTAGGACAGTATGCTTGGTAAAGTGGAGGGTAAGCAATTAAGAGGAAGACCCTCAATGAGATAGATTGACACAGTGGCATCATCAATGGGTTTAACTGTAACTCTTAACTTAAGAGTGTTTCATTCTCTTATTCATAGGGTTTCTGTGAGTTGGAACCATCTTGACTGTGCCTAACAACAACCCAAGAGAAAGACTAACCCTAGGGAGACACATACATTTTAGAATAATTAACCATTTGAGATCAAAAAGGTCACATTTACCCAAGGACAAAGTTCAGAAGAGTGGGATAGAAGGAGGAATGCAAACAGGAAACACGGGGTGGAATGGCATAAGTGATGTTACTTTATGGGAATTGAAACAAATGACATAACACAAAATGTGCATGGATTACTGAGCAGAAAACTGATCTATTCTGGACACCTTTGCCCAATTCACAATGAGAAGTAAAATAAATATATAGATAAGTAAGTAAATAGACTAGCCAGGGTTCAAACATGGCAAGTACTCAGTAAATGCTGGTTTTTCCTCCACCTGCTTTTGTTAAGGAGAAATGTGTCTTCCTCATTCCTGTTTCCTTCCAATCTGAGATGTGTCATTCCCAGACTCTCTCCTTTTCTTCAGCTATGCTTTTTTTCAGGGAAAGGGATAGATTAATGTGATCAGGCAATATGGAACCCTTGCTGTAAGACTTATCTAGCTGCCCCATAATTGCCTAGGATCTGGAAGGTTATATTGGTTTAATTTTAGTTAGTCCATTTTATTTTTACATGGTTAATCTTTAAATTTAAAAATAAAGTGATACTTTGGCCTCAATCTCAATTTGTCCAGAATTTGTCCAGGAAAGATGCCATCTCAATGACCCAGTAGTCTAAAAAAGATGAGTTGTAGTAAATGGTGATATGTAGTGAATGGACTGATATTGGCCATTTTGAATTGGACTATGCTGGGAATGACAAATTGAAGAGGAATGGCATTGAATTAATCATCAAAAAGAACACTTAAAGATCTGTTTTAAAGTATAATACTGTCTGTGACAGGATAATATTCATATGCCTACAAGGAAGAGAAGTTAATACCACTATTATTCAAATTTACACACACCACTGAATACAATGATGATGAAGTCGAAGAATTCTACAACTTCTTCAATCTGAAATTGATAAAAAATGCAATTATGGTGCATTGATAATTAATGGTGAATGGAATACAAAGGTTGGAAAGAAATAGGAAGGATCTGTGATTGGAAAATATGGCCTTGGAGATAAATTTGATGCTGAATACTGCATTATAGAATTTTTCAAGACCAATGACTTACTCAATGCAAATGCCCTTTTTTAGCACCATAAAAGGTGATTATATACATGCATCTCACCTCATGGAATACACAGAAATCAGATTGACTACAACTGTGGAAAGAAATAGGGGAGAAGCTCAATATCATCAGCTAAAAGAATGCCAGAGGCAGACCATCAGAATGAAGCTAAAGAAAATTAAAACAAGTTCATGAGAGCTAAGATATGACTTTGAGTATATCTTACCTGAAGATAGAGACCATCTCAATAACAGATTTTTTGTATTAGACAATAGCCAAAAACCAGAAGAGTTGTGGGATGATATGAAAAACATCATACAGGAAGAAAACAAAAGTTCATTAAGAAGAGAAGAAACAAGAAAAAGACCAAAATGGATGTCAGAAGAGAGTTGCTCTCCAGCATAGAGATGCTAAAGCAAATGGAAGAAATGAGGAGGCAAAACAGTTGAACAGAAAATTTCAAAGCTTGAGAAGACAAAGTCCACTATCATAATAAAATGAACAAAAATAATGCATATTATTTTATTGAATTAGAAAAACAAAAAGGAAGAACATGTTCAGCATTTCTCAAGCTGAAATAACTGATGATAAAATGCAAGCCACATGTTGCCGTACTGAAGGATTCAGTGTGCAAAATATTGAATGATGCAGAATGCATCAAAAGATGGAAAGTATACACAGAATCACTGTACCAAAAAGAATGAATGCTCAGCCATTTCAAGTGGTAACACATAATCAAGAATCAATGGTACTGAAGGAAGTAGTCCAAGCTTCACTAAAGGCATTGGTAAAAAACACGGCTCTAAGAATTGATGGACATTTTCTGTGCAAGTCATAAACAATAAACAGGTTCTACTCAGTTGTCATTTCTAAATAATAATAATAATTGATGGAATACAAGTTGAAATCTTTCAATAAACTGAGTAACATTGCAGGTGCTCATTCATCTATACAAAAGAATTCGGAAGATAGCCCTCTGACCAACTAATTGGAAGAGATCCATATTTATGTCCATTCCAAAGATGTGACCCAATGGAATGCACAAATTGTCTAATAATATCATTAATATCACATACAAGTAAAGTTTTACTGAAGATAAGTTAAAAATGGCTGCAACAGTATGTCAGGGAGTTTCTCTGCCACAAATTCAAACCAGATTCAGAAGAGGACGTGAAATGCAGAACTTCATTGCAGTCATCAAACAGATCTTGGTTGAAAGCAGAGACTATCAGAAAGGTATTTATTAACCACACAAAAGCATTTGACTGTGTGGTTCATAAAAACTATGGATAAAACTAGAAAGAATGGGAATTCCAGAACACTAAATTGTGCTCATGAGGAACCTGTGCATAGACCAGTTGTCTGAACAGAACAAGGGGATACTGAGTGGTTTAAAATAAGGAAAAGTGTGCACCAGGGTTGTATCCTTTCACCATACTTATTCATTCTACATGCTGTGCAATATATCTGAGAAGACAGATTATATGAAGAACAATGTAGCATCAGAATTGGGAGGAAGGTTCATTTATAAT